CTGTAACGCATACACCTAAGGGCGCAGAGGGAGGGGTAAGGAAACACGGGTAACTTTCTAGCACCTTTCTCCATGCTCAGTAGCAACGTACTCCACAAGCAGGCGAACGGAGGTACTCAGAGTAAGGTGTTCTTTTAGTCCAAGAAGAACCCAGCCCATCGCTTTGGCTTGTTTATCCTTAAAATTCCCTTCACAAAGTTTTTGTCTGGGTGGAATTGCCTAGGTTGTTTAAAAGGAACACTCCAGACCACGTCACTACTGGCTAGACACTCTCGGAACAGCGACGCAGCTTAGGACGTCAGCAGGAACAATCGCTTTCCCACGGCTCGCTTCGGAGCCAGGCAGATTTTGTCTTCCAGGATACACAGTCACTGACCCAGGGTTCCTGTCCCAGTCACTACACACCCACACCACAGCAGCTGAACTAGCCAGGCATGTATGCACAACACAATCTCCTTTAGCACAACGCAACGTCACCAGCTGTGCAACAGATCACTGCATGGATCCTAATTCCGTAAATCCAAACCTGTTTTCACGCAGACATTCACGGACGCTCCTCCCCAGGGAGCCAATTTTTACCCTTTGGCTTTAAAGGCGGGGGGGGGGGGGGGGTGGCAGGAGTTTTCTGACAAGGGGGAAAGTGTGCGTGTGTTTTGGGTTTGTTTGCTGTGGTTTTTTTTTGTCATTTTATTCTTACTCAAAAACAGCTAAACTGTTTGTACCCAAATTTTCCAGAAATATTCACCCCTGGGCAGAATCCAAACATGGGAAATTTCAGCCTGGAAGTTCAACTCTTCAGAAAGTTACGTGGGACTGAAACCAGGCGAGTCTGAGGGACCCTCAGTAATTCCCAGGGCGGTCGGGCCAGGGCTGCCCAGGCACTGTTGTCTCCTCCGGGGGTTCCGTATTTGAGTCTCTTTGATCACATTCAGTCATTTGACAGGGGTCAGCTGGGGTTATACAAAAGAAACTAAATATTCCAAGGACCCCCCTTCAGTGCAGCTGGAGGGTTCAGGCCCAGAGACCATCTAGGTCTCAGAAGTCGGAGTCAGAGTGGTGGGTGTCTCAGGGAATCGGAGCCGGCTACAAACCCTTCCCGCGGCGGGGGCTGATTCATTGCCTGCTCACAGGTGGGGAGGCAGCTCACGCACAAGGAGTCCGGGGGCCTCAGCCACGTTCCTAGTGGTCAAATCTCTGCTTTGCAAAACCTGCCACTACGACTGGCCCCTTGGCAGAAAGCCACGGCCTGGCCTGTGCATCTCAGCACGCCTGTGTGTTCATAGCGTGTTCCATGAGTGCGTCCTGGTGCATGGCGCGTCTGCACCTCCGTGGGGGTGCTTTTGGCACATTGCATGGGCATGGCATGGCTGTGTGTGGGCACGTCGTCTTCATGGCATGGACACACGTGTGTCTGCGCAGCTGAGTGGTGAGCATGCATGTGCATGGCTGAGCTGCACAGGGACAGCTTGTGCGCATGGTATGTTCACATGTTCACGTGTGCATGTATGATCTGCACAGGCTGTGTGTGCAAATGGCCTGTGCCAGGCATGTCTGCATCTGTGTGGGCCTGGTGTGTTTGTGTGCCAGCTGTATCTGTGTCCATACGGGTCGTGTGCATGGCGTGTTTGTGTGACGTTTGTATGGGCAGGGCCTGGCTATGTCTGGATGGGGTAGGGACACAGGGGTGTCTGGATTGGTGTGTCTGTGTGTGTCGCATGGGTGCCGTGTCTGTGTCCACGCGTGTCTTAGCCCCGCACGGCGTGTGCCCGGCGCGTGTCGCACGTTCGGTGCGGCTGTCGCGTCCCGGGGCAGCGGGAGCGGCGCTGACACACATTCCCCGTTTGGCAAAGGGAAGCAGCTCCATGTTGTTTGTATTATTTATTTGTTTTATTTGCAGTGAAAGTGCTGCGCTGACGGCAAATGTCACTTCCACCATCTGCCGCGTCTGGCTGCCTGGCTGCCGCGCAGCAGCGAGCAGGAGGGAGCGAGTACGCAGCTTGTGTCCCTGCGGAAGGGGCTCCAAGCAGGCGCCGAGACTGAGGCCTCATCAGCCAAACCTCCCCGGGGAAACCCCCCTTGGGAGAGAGACACAACACAGGCAGGGAACTGAGTCAGCGCAGGGTCGGAGGGACCTCGCTGTACCCCGGCATCTCGTCCAATGCAGGGTCCGAGGGACCTCCCCGACCAGGAGCCGATCTAGTGCATGAACTGAGCAAACTCACCTGGCCCAAACACCCTCGGCCACCTCTGATTCCTGGGGTCCCCAGCACAATCCCTAGCCCACGGGCCCCTCGACCAGCCAGCCAGCCCCCCGCGGGCGCTGACGCGGGCAGGAGCCATCGCCTTGTGTGGGGGCAGCGAGAGGCCAGGGCGATTTACAAAGCACGGCCTAATTTGCTACCAGCAGCGGCTGGGATGAGACCGTGAATTCGGCCCATTAGCCACCATGGAGGCAGCTGATGCTAGTAGTTTGTGGCGGGGACAGAGGCTCCCTTGTTTGCCTGATTTACGGACCAGCTTCGGGCCCCGAGCCGGGGCGTGCGCAGACCCAGCCCCGCTGGGACCCATACAAAGAACCCGGGCCGGAGCCTCCAAACCGGGGCTGGCGCCGCAGAGCTCGGCCCACCAACAAAAGAGGTGTTCGCTCCCCAGATCCCCGAGGTTCCCCGACCCGCTTCCAGGATCCCCAGGAGAGCCTGAGGCTTGGGAGGGCTTTGCGGTGAGACGGTTTTAATGGGGGAATTTACAGCCCTGCTTATTCCGGGGAGTCAGGGAGCAGAGGGGGACAGATGGCAAGTGCTCCCCCACTGCCCCTCAATCCCTCCTGCTGACCCAGCTCTGCCCTGCACCCCCCAGCTCTGCCAGTGCCCCTCAGTCCCAATCCACCGTCCCAACAAGCGGGAGTGGAGGGATTTTCTGGGACATGCCATCAGAGAGGGCCGAGCGAGACCTTGGATTCTGCTGAAAGCACCAACCCCCAGGGCAGAGGCCCACCAAACTCGTCTTGCACTGGGGCCAAACACAGCCACCGGCTGAGAACAGCTTCTGGTCACTGGCGCCCTGGTCAATTTTCAAACCTAGCGTAAGGTTCCCCAGGTCCGGTTTGTGTGCCCCGAGCCATTGGGGGTCTGAATGCAGGAAGGGGCTCTGTGACCCAGGCCTCTTCCCCCGTGTCCCCACCTCTCCCCGCCCCCGCCCCACTCCCAGTCGGGGCGCGCAGGTATCTGGGTGCTGCCGGGAGGCACCAGCCCCATGACTCGTCGCCTGGACGGGGGAAATGGCCGTTATGCAGCATCACTGCCGCGTGGCTCTGTGTTCTGCGGCCGCCCACGCAGGAAACCGGAGCTGGCTGGGGACGGCTCTTCTCCAGGGCACGAGACGCGGTGCACGGGGGAGTGGGGATACCGTGCTCCCAGGCCAGCTCTCCCCTGCTCTCTGCACTGGCTGTCAGGGAATGTCCTCCCCACGTCACACACGCTGGAGCCCCGTCCCCAGCACACAGCATTAACAGAGACACAAAGCCAGGCCCCTAGGACTCAGCCCCAGAGCTGGCACGATGCCCATGCTGGAGGCACTGAACAGCAACAGCATGGACAGAACTCAGCTTCTCCTGCCACTGCAGCTAATGGAGAATCGCTGCTATTGGCAGTATAGGGCCTATGACACAGATTCCATCCAACAGAGCGCAGTCACACACAGAGTCTGGCTAGTCCAGTATGGTGTCCTGTCTGATAGCACCAGCATCGGACGCCCCAAGAAATCCCACAATGGCCAATTACGGAATAACCTGCCCCAGGGGGGTTTCATCCCAGGCCCGGCGGTGGGAGGGTGGCTCATGCCCAGCAGTGGGAGTTACATCCCCTTCCCTTGCCCCACCCCCACAATGTAACTGGTGTTCTCCTTATCGATGCCAATGCCCGATCCACTGGAACCCTGCAGAGCTCTCCTGTGGCAGTGAGTTCCACAGGCCAGCCGTGTGCTGGGTGAGAACGGACACGCTGTCTGTCCAGCCTGTCCTGCCCAAGGGCCACTCGCCAGCTTTCACGCCTTTCACTGCACAGCCCCAGGCGTGTAGGACTGCATCAGCACCCCCAGTGTACAGCTGGGGGGACCGCGGCATGGAGCAGGGCGCTAGCCAGGCTGGAACCCCGATTTCCCCATCCTGCGGTCACGCTTTCTGCACCCGGCCAGCCACGATGCCAGCGGGCAGGAGCAGACGAGGGGCTGAACGGAGCCAGGCAGCGCGGTGCCCAGCCCAGGGAGGAGACAGCCACACAGCCCGGGGAGCAGGGAGATGCAGCCGAGGGCACCCCAGGGCAGCGGGGGAGGGAGAGGATGGGGCTCTGAGCACCACCCCCACCTCAGCCAAGCCAAGTGCCCGTCTGGGGGTGCTCAGCTGGTGAGGTCGGGCGCGGGCACTGAGCCCCATCTGATGAGGATCCAGCCCACAGGGCCAGGACAGTCTAGGGGGGTCCCACGGCCTGGCGCAGAGGACGGGGCATGGGGACAGGACCTCAGGACAGGCGGGGGGGGGAGGTCCCACGGCCTGGCGCAGGAGACGGGGCGCGGGGACAGGACCCCAGGACGGTCTGGGGGGGTCCCACAGCCTGGCGCATGGGACGGGGAGCGGGACAGGACCTCAGGACAGTCTGGGGGGGTCCCA